TATAAATGCTTACTAAGTATACTACAAGGGACTTAATATAAGACATGGCAAGTCGCCCGTAATATACTTAATAAGCACTTAAGTCTTATAAATGCTTACTAAGTATACTACAAGGGACTTAATACTATTGATTCTTTCAAATTATATCTTGTAGAAAAGTAGATTTAATTATTAAATGTAAAACTCCTTTTGGTTCTTTCATCTGTTATAAAGAAATGTCTCTTTTTTTTTTTTCGGTATTATTAAACATATAAACATAACTTCCATTAAGCTCAATATGATTTCTTAAACTATCATAATTATATTAGCAAAAACAGTAAAATGGTTCCATAACCATAACCCATGGGCTGGGTTTACATGACATACTGAAATTCCTTTTCACACTTAACGAATTACATAATAGAAAATTCACTACAATCATAATCCTTACATGTATCTGACTCAATATACATACATGTTCTGTTAAATGTTTAATACATCAGACATATTCCAAAAGAAGTCAAATTCTACAGAAAAAAAGCCTACACCCAGCTAGTCTACTATCTACATCAAAACAAAAGATACATGTCCTCCTAGTCTTATTTCTTGCATTTTCTACAGACTTACGCACAATAAAGCAAACGATCGTATACAGCATTTATTGCTATAAGTGTAGTTAAACAACTATTAATAAAATAAACATCAATTTATCAAATCCAAATTCTTTAGATGAAATAAGAATCATAAATCATCCTAAACCCACCAGTTTAAAGAAATCAAGAAAACAAAACAATACCATTGAAATCATAAATTCATAATGAGTCTTTCACGCTTTCTATAGAATCAATTCGCAGGATAGAATCAATTCCGAGGGCCATCAGTGTCTAATGTGCACATCTAGACCTGCTATCTACAACCTCAATCTGTAATATGATTTCAACAAAAGAGGGAGCAATCTACAACCTCAACATGGAGGGAGAATTTCATATCAATCATATATCATATAGTGATGATATCCATGTTCAATCGATCGTAATATCAACTTCAACAAATGAAGTGATATTCGGAGTAATAACCATGTCTATATCAGCTGTAAGACTTTTAAATCATTCCATTCATGTAATAATATTAAAATCACTGTGGGCAACATTTCCTTTCGCAAACACTACTAAAACCATTCAGTCACGGCCACCCCTCATACTACAGGAATCAATTGGCCAACATCCTCCTCTTTCAAGGTATAAGAATCATAAAATTCATTTACATATGGCATTAGGTCGTATGCTTTCAAAATAAGCTTTGTTCAGCTTATTGTTCTTTAAAAAAAAACTTATCAATCATTAATACTTTTTATAATTATGATCATAAATGTAAATCCATGAAAATATTTTGCAAAATCAATTTCATTTTGTTGTAAATAAAAGTTAGAAAGGCTATACACTACACCTGAGCTAGAGGCCCCCTAGCCTTTTCCTTCTAGCAACCCAACCCTCATCCCTCAACTCCCTTCGCTCTTAGGAAGCTGTAGCATGATGCAGTAACTACTCACTTTAACTTACATTAACTACACAAATTACACACATGCATTTCTATAAGGAGCAAACTTAAGCATAGATATGTTGTGTCATGCTTTTCTTTCAATTTTCACCCATGCTTGTCCAAGATGTCATATGGACCTTAGTGTAAGCATGAAAACATCTTCATATCCACACACACTAAATCACATCCTAGAAACATACTACTAACAATTTAAAAACAATAGAAGTCTTAACTGCAATGTCCTAAATTCTCATTTTCAATGTATTATGAAATGGCAAGAACATTTCACAATATGAGCCAGCTCTGCATTCCAGGGTGATATATTCTTTAAATTTTCATCATATTCATTTTTCCCTGAAATTTTACAGGCATGTTCCCCAACATCTTAGAGTACTTCCCTTAAAATTTCATAATTTTTAAAGCTCATTGCCATTTCAAATGACACAATATCGATCTGAATTTCAGTTTTTCTCATGTCTGAGCAGGCCTGCATTGATTTAAATGTATAACTTCCATTTCCTCTTTACTCCAATGGCCTTTCCCTTTTAACACGTTTATCAGCATGACATAGTCTCGGGATCCATCTCGGGTTTGCACACCATGCCTTAAACTTTGGGTTAATTAATCTAGTATTTAGGTTAATTAAAAATTGGAGTCACTTAGGGTTTTTCCTAGTTTTCCCTAAAATAATTAAACTAGGTGGCGACTCACACACATCACGTGCATTTCTTCCTTAGTCACATGCATTCATATGCATTTTGATACTTGGGGAGGGGTTCACAGTCTATTACTTACATAACATCATAATATAAGATATATCAGAATCCCTAGGTCATGGCATATCAAATACAACCTCAAAATCATCCATCTTGGTGAATTATGCAAGTTAGACTTTGAATTCATGCATAACTAGTTTCACTCATCTTAAATCACCTTAAACTCAAGTCTAATCACTTCATCTTCACCAAATCAGAATAAGCAACACCTCACTCTCAATAGTTCATCTGGAAGTCAAAATTAATCCATAGAAAAGAAGCGACAGGAAGTAAGATAACTCAAAACCTTTTCTTAAGACACTACCTGAAAATTCCTGATTTTCACCTCTTTTTAGCTTGATTTGTACAGCAAAACTCTCCTCCTCTGCTTCATTGTACCAAACGTGAGCTGTTAAAAATGGTCGGGAAAAAATGGCACATGGTTATCTCCACCTCTTCTATAATAAATAATTCACTAAACATCTATTAAAAAATTCCTTCCATTCGTCCTTTAAATAAAATTGCACATATAATCCTCCCTTTTGTCTTTCCCTTCATCCTTTTGCACTCTAATCTTTTTAACTCACTTCACTTGTAAGTCCTAGTACGGTACTCACCAACGTGTATTGAATATTACTAAACCCCACTTTAAAGAAAGGTCATAGCTAACTTTACCGCTTTTTCGGGCTTTTCGGGAAAAATTAAAATCGTGCTTTACCAAGAAGTTCATTCCTCTTTAACTCATGTTTGATTTCCTTTTAATCCCTTTCAAATTGACTGTGTAATCACATGAATTACTATTTAATAATCATCATCATCCTCAATACATTAGTGTTTCATTATTTAAGTTTTCATTTTCCATTCTCGGATACCGAAACTTCATCGAAAAAGCTAGATAATAGCAGAAACTACAAACATGTTGAGGATACTTTTAATCTTTCAAATTGATTTGTAATCACATTAATTACTATTTAATTAATATTCACATCCTCAATATATAGTGTTTCCCATTATTCTAAGTTTTCATTTCATTCGGATAACCGAATTCATCGAAAAAGCTAGAATAGCAGGAACTACAAAGTTGAGGATATTACAGACACTATAGTTAAACAAATCATACCAGATAAAGGTCTAGAATTTCAAATACCTGAGTTTTTCAGTGGAAATGGTATTCACCATCAGACTTCTTTTGTAGCAACTTCACAACAAAATGGAATTGTCGAAAGGAAGCACCAGCATATACTCAATACAGCCAGGGCTTTGCTATTCCAATCCCACTTATCGCATAAGTTTGGGTGTTATGTTGTCTTGCATTCAATCCTTCTTATCAATAAACTCCCTACACCATTGTTACAGAACGACTAACCATATGAAAAATTGTCCTCTAAACTACCTTACTGTCAAGATATAAAATTATTTAGATGTCTTGCTTATGCTTCTGCTCTTTCGTCACATATACATAGCAAGGAAGTCAATTTTTCTAGGATATAAATCTGGCAATGAAGGATTCCTACTCATGGATCTCCAAACCAAAGAAATCTTTCTCTCAAGGGATGTTGTTTTCTATGAAAATTACTTCTCCTTTGCCACAAAAAAATTCACCTGAATATACCTTTACTCAGCTCACAAACAACATCAATATTTCATATCCTACTAATGACATTTCCCCTAGCATACCTATCTCAAATATTCCACCATCTTTAACGACTCCTCAAACTACTGAACCCCCCTCCCCACAAACTTCCTTATCCCAAAGGCCTATATGCCAAAGAAAAGCTCCTCAATACTTAAAGGATTATAACTACAATTCCATTAACACTGCCTCTGAGTTGTCATTGGTTAAACACCCCTTATCTCCAGTGCTTTCTTATACTAAACTCTCTCCTTATTATTCTCATTTTATCTCTAATTTCACATCTATTTCTAAACCAAATTCCTTTAAAGAAGCAGTCTAGCATCAAGTTTGGAAGGATGCCATGGATACTGAAACTATTGCCCCCAAAACCACTAATACTTGGTCTTTAGTGCCACTCCCACCAAGTAAGACACCAATAGGCTGCAAGTGGGTATATAAAATTAAACATAAATCAAATGGATGTATAGAGAGGAATAAGGCACGGCTGGTGGCCAATGGTTATACTCAAATAGAGGGTTTGGATTACTTGGATACTTTCTCACATGTTGCAAAGATGACCAAAATTAGATTGTTGTTGGCTTTTGCATCTATAGGTCAATGGCATCTTCACCAATCGGATGTGAATAATGCATTCTTGTATGGGGACTTGACTGAGGAGGTTTATATGACACCTCCTCATGGATTGGTTACTACTGCAAATTAAGCATGTAAGCTTCAAAAGAGTCTTTATGGCTTGAAGCAAACCAGCAGGCAATCATTCTTCAAGTTGTCTCAGGTTTTGATCACAAATGGCTATACTCAGTCTAGCTTACACCATTCTCTGTTTGTTATTCATAAGTCACAGTCATTTACTACACTCCTTGTGTATGTAGATGACCTCATCTTGGTAGGGAATGATATGCAGGAAATTACAAGAGTTAAATTCTTGCTTGATGATTTTTTCAAAATAAAAGACCTTGGTGTTTTAAAATTCTTCCTTAGACTTGAGATTGCTAGATCTCCCAAAGGAATTTCACTTCGTCAAAGGAAGTATGCTTTGGAATTACTTGCAGAAACTGGTTTTCTTACTTCAAAATATTGCACCACTAAAAATGAATTGCAATCCAAAACTCAATGCTAATATTGGAGAATTGCTTACTGATATTTCTGGCTATAGGAAGCTTGTTGGAAAACTCATTTACCTTACAATAACTCGACTTGATTTAACTTTTGCAGTTAATCAGTTGAGCCACTTTCTCTCAGTCCCTATAACACTTCATCAACAAGCTTTGCATAGAGTTTTGAGATACATTAAACATGCTCCTGGTTTGGTTTTGTTCTTTCTCTCTTCATCTTCTACTCATCTAAAAGCCTTCAGCAACTCTAACTGGGCAGGATGTGTTAATACACATAGATTTGTGATAGGATATTATCTTTATCTTGGAGATTCTCTCATTAGTTGGAAGTCCAAGAAACAAACCACTGTTTCTCATTCTTCTTCTGAGGCTGAATATAGAGCGCTTGCTACCCCCATTTGTGAAGTACAATGGATTAAATACCTTCTCAATGATCTCCATATACCTTACCACCAACCTACTAGTGTCTATTGTGATAATCAATCTGCACTACACATAGCTGCCAACCCCATCTTTCACGAACGCCCAAAACATATTGAATTAGACTGTCATTTTGTTTGTGAAAACTCAAGACTGGTCTCATTCGCCTTCTTCCTATCCCCTCTCATGCTCAACCAGCCGATATATACACCAAGCCCCTTCCTATTTCTCCTTTTCAATCTTTAACCCTCAAATTGGGAATGATTTACCTACCCAGCTTATGAGGGGTTATTAGATGATAAAGGCACAAAATACAAAATGGTGAGCAGCAAAGTAAATGAAACAATGCACACAAAGCAAAATGGCAGCGTTTCGACTAATGGTGTACTCAAGTAAAACATTATGGATTGGAGTTTATTTATTAGTCAAGTTTGTTAGTTTGTTAGTCCTAGCTGGCAAGTTAGTTAGCTATTGTTAATGTAATTAAGGTTAGTTACAGAAACATTTAGAACCTTCTTTTTCTTTGTAAATAAAGTTTGTTCATTGATAATCAATGATAAGTAAGTATATTCTTCCATTTCTATTTCTTAATAGGCTGTTGTACTTTTTCCTTACAAGGACTACAACCTATAGGGATGTTGAGATACATAGAAGGTAGACTTCCTGCTAAGCAATTTAAGGAGGTTGCAAATTGTCTCAACTCATCCTCATTTATGTTGAGACCAAAAAGCTTACTGTGGGTCACGTATATGTATCGCACAACCCAATTGGGTTTTCTAAAAAATAAAAATTTAACTTTTAAAATCAAACTCAAAATTCTGTTATAGCGAAAAAAGTATGCATTTGTGAGACTAAGTTATTAAGATTAGAACTTCCTCACAAAGCTCTATACAGAAAATAAAGAGATTTTGTAAAGAACAGTTATAGATCTCTTTTTCAAATCAGAATATTGAATTTCCATTTTTAGAAGATACGGAGATCTTTGTTACCAAAAATTCTTTTGAGTCAATATCCTTTCTTTTTGGTAAGTGAATAAGAGAAGATTAAACTTTTCTTTAAAAACATAATTTTCGAAAATAAGGATATGAAAAGTCTTTTTCAAAATATTCATTTACCAAAAATAATTGAGACAAAATCTCTTTCATTTAGATAAGTAAATAAGAACAAGATTTTGGTTTTCCTTAAAAATTTATTTTACCAAAAATAATTGAGCAAATCTCTTTCATTTCCGATAAGTAAATAAGAACAAGATTTTGGTTTTCCTTAAAAATTTATTCCGAGAATAAAAAAACATAAAAGATTTTATTCGATTTTATTCTATTGAAATAGATTGAGAACAAAGTCCTTCTTTAATTTAGGTTAGTGAATAAGAACAAAGATTTTGGGTTTTTTTCCCTAAAAAATTTATTTCCGAAGAATAAAAACATAAAGATTTTATTCGATTTATTTCTATTACGCAAAATCGATTGAGACAAAGTCTCTTTAATTTTAGGTAAGTGAATAAAATTTCAAATTTTTTTATGAAGATTATTTTTTGAAAAAATAAGACAAAGCTTTTTCTTAAGAGATTTTGTTACCAAAATGATCTGAGACCATAAATCTCTGTTTCATTTAGGTAAGAGAATTAAAAGAACGAAAAACTTTTAAAATTTTTAAAAGGGAATATTATCAAAAATTCTTTTGACAAAGAGAAGAAAGAAATTAATTTGTGCTTGTATAAATGAATGTTTTCTTATCCTACAATAAATCCTAAAAATTTCTAACCACTTAACGATCTTCAATGGTCTTCAAATGATCTTTGTTTATCCTTGATTTTGTAGGATTTTTTCCTTGTTTATTTAATTTTCAATATTTAGATTCTCATAAAATGATATTAGACAAATAATATAATAATAAATTTAATTTGTTTGTTTTTAAATCATCAAATCTCGAGATAACAAAATTGACCATTGAGGCCAACAATCTCCCCTTTTTTGACGATGAACAAAACCAATAAATTTATCAAAGATAAAAAATGTGCTCCCTAAATTTATGCATGGTCAATAAAATTATTTAAAGTTTATAAATCATAACATATTTTTACAATGAAGCAAGTTTAGAACATCTATAAAGCTTCCCCTGAATAAGTGCAATTACCATATCTATGCGAGATTAAAACAGAAAATAGTTTTAAGAAACTGGTATTAGAAACATACATATAGAATTAAAAGATTAAGTTCTTAATTCTAATATTCAGAGCATGTGATCAAAGCAAAAAAGAAAATAAATAGAAACTGACATTAGAAAATAGAACATAAGTTTCTCAAGCCTATCTGTGCAGAGCATGACAATAAGAACAAAAAAAATAGTTCTAAAAATCTAACTAATCAAATTATCATATAAAACATATAGCCCATATTAATATTTTCTGTTTATATATCATAAAAAAATAACACAGATTAGAACAACAAATTAGCATTTAAGATATAAGTACTAAAATTAAACACATACTAGCAGTTTGAGATAAGTACTAATCATCAGAATATCCTGTGTTCTTCCCATTTTGTCATCATACAAAGGTTTAGTAAAAACCAGAGCAAAAATAAGCAAATAGACAAACAACAAAAAAAAAATTTAATAGAAATTCAAACAACACAACCTAACCAAAGACACACCAAAAAAAAAAAATTGTTCACGAAAACATAGACAACAAGTAAGAAAAATCAGAGGGGGTTTGGAGTCAGTTCTAATTTTCCTTAGAACTCTGAAACGGTTTTGTGGCAGGAGCAGTTTCCAGGAGAACTTTTCCCCTGGAACCGTTTAGATAGAGGGATGCAAAGGAGGCTTCCTTCCATGAACTCTGGTGGTTTACCAGCAGTGTGCTTTACTCTCCTTGGCTTTTCTGAGTAGGAGTGTAAGGGGTGTTTCCTTTGACCTTAGAGTAGCTAGCCTTCTCTCATTTAATATTCCTTTCTTCAATTCCTTTCTAAGGATTCAACTAAGGGACTGATGTGTGCAATTAATAGCCTTGCTTTGTTTAATAGCCTCATCAAGCTCCTGTAAATTGTGTTCTTCAGAGCTCTTTTTCCATTCTTGCCCAGATAGCTTCTCTACTCCTTTGTGCTGAGCAGAAACACGTTCAGATTCCCCTTCTATCCTTTAAACCATCAGTTTCTTTTTCTTCTTCCAGCTCAATTCCAAATTTTTTCAGTTTCAGCATCAATGGCTTCCTCAATCTCTTTACGTCTACCTTCATTTCTCAAACTTTTCAGAATCCTTTTTCTCTTCAGTGTTAACTTCAACTTTCCTCTTTTTCTTCTTCCATTTCCCTTTTTGATTCTGTTCAACTCAGCCACTGTCCTCCTTTTCTTCTTCTATTTTTCCTTTCTTTCTCTTCTTCTAAATTTCTCTTTCTTTTCTTCTTTCTCAGCTTCCTCTAATTTTCCTTTCTTTTTCTCTCTTTCTTTTTCTTCTTACTACCTCTTCCTCTTTTCCTCTTCTTTTCTGTTCTTTCACTTTCTTCAGCAATTCCCTTTTTTCTCTTATCCCCTTTCATCACCTTCTTCCATCTTTTTAGATTTCAAAGATCCACTATCTAACTTTGAAAACTCTATGACCTTTGCTATCATCTAAGTTCAACTTTCAAACTCAAAACACAGGGTAAGCACCAATGCCCATAGGGTAATTTCTTAGTGCTGTTATACATTTTGTCAAATAGTGTGACACAGATGAAGGGTTTCTTCTCAGTTATGTGCCACCATTATGCACATCTCACCATAATTACGTAAGTGAGCGAGCAACTTCTTTAGATAAATACAGTGCACAATCCAATTTATACAGCCACTTCATAACTGCCCAGTTAAATTGAACATCATTATACCCTGTTTTTCCTGGCAGAACCTTTCTTCATAAATTTCTTTACCAATTCTTTCCATTTTGTAATCCGTTTACATAGGGAATAATATCTTTGATTTTTATTACCCTAGACCCAGTGTTTGTATATTGGAAAATCTTGTTCAAGTCAGCGTAAGACAACGCCTTTAATTTCCTCCTTCAAATTTTTACAAAAATTGATTCTGATCCCCTACTGGTTTTAAGAGAACCATAAACTCCTTAACCACATTCTCATAACAAGGTCTGTTCAGGATAAAAAAATCCATCCATCCCTGGAATCAAAGCAGTTCCCTAAAGTTGACTCGTCCTTTTCCAAAGAACTTCCCAGTCAATTACATAAGAGCACATAAAAGGGTATGGAGAAGACTGATTTACCTTTGCTGCGAGAAACCAGAGACCGTTCTTTGATTTTCTAATTTTCGCTTTTTCTTTCTTTGATTCCTCAATAGATTTCCTTCCTATTTCAACTCTTTTCTATTCATGCTTCTTAGATAGCCTTTTTAAGAGAGTTGAAGTTCTTGTTCCGTCAAGGCAGTCAGAGGAGGAAGAGTGGAACTCGATCCGGCCATGGTTAGGGTTTTGAAGCAAAAAAGCCTTTTAAGGTTTATTTGCAAGAAGGGAAAAAGAGAAGACAGAGTAGTTTAAATTAGAGAAGTAAAATCGGATTTACTTTAAGAAGATATAATCTTTTAGGAAATAAAGAGAGAACACTTAAAGAGAAGTTAACAAAAACACAAAAAAAAAAAATAAATAAATAAACAATTTTAAGGAAATTCAAACCGACTCACCAAACAAAAAAAAAAAAACCAGCCAAAACTTAAATGAAATAAAGACACAAACATAGTCAAGACACACACACACAAAAAAATCGAATGTTTTAAATTTAGTTTAAAAATAGAATCTGATAATGACATTAGAAAGTCACATCAGAGCAATACCCATTTCTTTAGATAAAAACGTTTTTCAGAATAAGTACAGAAATAGAATATTAAAATATAACACCAGAGCAAGTATTTCAAATTCTCAAATATAGAAAGCAGTTTAGAACAATAACTTTACAGAGTTCTAAGTTAAGCCGTTTTAAAACTCACATACTGAGTTCTCTTCTAAAT